GTTGAACAGACTGAACTGAAAAAACACAAAACGAATCAGAAACAAAAAATGTGTTATGGCGTACAAATGTAAGAGCCCACAACAGAAACACAAACATTTGTACCCCTCAAAACATAAAGAAGTGGGTTAAATGATTTGTACATATAAAAAGCTGATGCATACAGCATAATTCAGTCAGTTAAAAAGTCAAATAAAGGAGTTCCTCAGGAAACCTTAGTTGATCCTCTACAGCAGCGGTTCCCAACCTTTTTCAACTCAGGGCCCACTTAAGAATCAAAAAATGTTTTGCGGCCCACATTCAACCATAAACAATACGGAGGCTAAATAAAGTTCTGATTGGTCAATTCAGAACATGTGACACGTTGTAAATCCATTAGAACAGACCGCTGTCAAGGACTGTAATGACCGTTGCTTCGTGGCAAAACTCTACAATTTAGCCTTCAGTGCAGACATTAATACTCTTCAAATAAAAGTAACAAAGGAGCAGATTTCAAGTCTTCCTCTGGTACATGGAAAATCTCCCCCTGCACATATTGTGCACAATAGGCTGTTAATCCAGCAGCGGCTGCACAATAACTTTGGGCTAAAGCAACTTCCCAGTTGGTAATGTAATCTCTCAAACAACTCAAGCAAGGCTTATTCATTCATTTCCTCTACCTGCTGCATGCATTCAAACTTGCCTTCCCCAACGCAAATAGTTTTATCAACCCCCCCCCCCTCTTAAAATCTGTGCCAACAGTTTTTTGCAGACTCTATTGTTTCAACTTTTCAAGGGAGGTTTTGCATTCTTTTTTAGGATATGAATCAACTTCATGCAATGTTGGTATTCTTGTCTTGGGCCTTTGCTTAGGATAGTCGCATCGTCTAGCACAGGGGTGTCAAACTCAAATACACAGTGGGCCAAAATTTTAAAATCGGTACTAGTCGAGGGCCGGACTGGTTCAATGTTTATTGCAGAACTTACTGAAATTAACTTATTGCACATATTAAACCTGGAACTAACAAAGCTTAAATGATTGCCAATAAAAACAACATTAAATAATTAGTTGCATTCATTTCTTGTGGCTCTATCTGCAGCTTTTCCAGAGTCAGTCCTTATGATTACATTTTCCCAAAGGCCAACAACAGCTTCAAAAAAACAATTTCCCTCAAAGACAAAAAAAATCATGCCCTGTTGTCGCAAGAAAAAAAGTACAAAAGGAAACATTCCACATTCCTACAGTCCATTGAAACTCAGTGTGCTGCTCGGTGATGCTAGTTCAAGCCAGATACTTGGCATCTCATCTTGGGTGCAAGGTCATCAATGTTTGGGGTCAGGCTCTGAGCAGAGGAAACCCTCAGGATTGAGTGAAGGTGTGCATGCAATATACCGGCGGGCCAGATCTAATAGTAATTAGAAATGATCCTTGAGTTTGACATAATGTGGTCCAGCACATACTGAAATAGAAGATTAATGCAGGTAGCAATAACTATAATACTAATCTCGTTCTTTGACTGCATTTCGTGCATTATCTACAATAGCAGGAGCAAAATGAAATGTACTGACACACTTCTAAATAAAACCACCATCTTTATTCTACAACCGTCTCTTCCAACCTTGCAGTCAACAGATCAACCAAAAATATATACATACATTTCCTGCGATGGTGATAAAATGTATACAACTCAGTCAGTGACAAAGATTTAAACATGCAGAATAGACAAACAGAGCAGTTGCAACAATTAAGGAAATGACATCACGAGGACATGGTGAGGGAAGATACAAAGACAGTAACGTTAAATGTAAAACCAAAGGCCACCTAGATTGAAGGAGGAGGGGAGAGGGAGCAGCAGTTTCTGATTTACATCCTTTTTACTGAGAAAACACCTTAGTGTAGAAAGTTTCCAAATCACAAACAGGATTACTGTATCTTGTGTTCTTTTCCTTTTTACTCTCAAAGTCCTTTCTTTGAACTTCTATTTCTTTGAAAGTAAATACAAATGTCCAGCCCAGTGTGGGGCATCTCTAGACTGTGGCTGGGATACTGTAGCTGCTCCTGTTGCTGATGTCAGCGGGAAGCGACGCCACGCTATCTCGCGCCCAATTGGTCACTCTCCCCTCCGTGCCATCATAGAGTGGCGCTGCGTCTGGAAGAGGATGATAATGCGCACTCTAAGCAGTTGGCAACAATTGATAATCAATGTCATGTACTACGGTTTAACTACTGAGGCCCAGTAGACACGTACATGGGTGCTTTTTAAACATAGACTTTTAATCAATCGCACAGTAACAAACAACTTTTTAGATCACTGAAAACAGAGATTTTATAACACTGTTTTCAGTGTGAGATGTGATGGAAACCAGACTTTTAAAGGTCCTTACGGCATTGTTTGATTTGTGAGGCACAAAAAGAGGTGACGTTTTGAACTACGCACATTTTGCATGTTACTTTGAGTAACAAAGGGGTCAACATGTGCTATAGAGGTCACTGCTACACCGCCGCTAATGTCAGTGGTAGCCAGTATTTGTGTATTATCATCCTGATGGAGATTTTCTTTGAATTGTGCTTGTTTGAAGTTGCTTTGAAAAATACATGAAAAATACCCTATTTAAAAAATACCTATGTACGTGTGGACTAGCCTTAAGCAGGTTGTTCCTGTGCGAACACAGCTCGTACCTCGGGTAGTTTACTTCCTATAACAACTGTATTCTAACAACATCCTACTTTTCCGGCCTCTGAAAATACACAGACATAAACACAATGTACATGCAAAATAAGTCAGAGACAGACGAAGACAATACTCTGAAACATATACGTGTTGTGCATGCACTTAAACTTACACAGGATATCTACAACATAGACAGTTACATAAACAGAGGTGACCAGGTCACTGCAACAATGCAAAATGGCCCTGCATGCATTTTAGAACAATGATCATGGGATGAGAATGGATTGCTGAGGCTACAACAGGAAACATGCTATGACTTAGTTTTGAGAGAAATTACTCATGGCTGTTAGGATGATGACTAATGAGGACAGTCAGTGGTACACAGGAGAATATTAAAACCAAGCTACCTGTGGCTGCGTTATAAACCTCTGTGTCGTGGGTTAGATTCACTGTTAAAGAGTCATCTGATTTAGGGCGTGAAGGCTTTCTGAGAGATGATGAAAATAAAGTCAACTTGGGCGGCAGTGATGTCAAGGAAAAAACGATTCTAGCCAAAATGATCCTAAAAATATGCATGCTGTAAAAACGATATGTAACACATTCTGATACAAACTTATAATGCACTCTAAACTATATCAGTGGTCTTTAAGTTTGGGAGATTTTGTACATTTTCTGTTTTCCTGTACTTTTTTTTGCAAATGATATATAGATATATATATATATATATATATATATATATATTGATATATTATATTCATATAATTTAAATAGTTTTTTTATCACAATGCTACACACTGTGTTATTTGATAGTTATAGGTTCAATATCAATGACGTAAATATCTGTACAAGGGAGAATTGCATATAAGGAATGAGCTGTTATTTGTTGCATTCATTTTTTTTGCTCTTGAGCTGCTATTATTTTTCCTGGTGGGGGAACGATAAGGTTTTTTTATCTCATATTTTATTCTGCCAACAACCGTTCTTATTTATTACATTATATAACTCTACAAATGAGTATATATTCATTGTGCAGTTAACTACACTACTAATGTGCATTAGTACTGTATTACCATCATTTATTCAATCTATTTTTCATACATATTACAAAAGATCATGGTTCTTTAGGGCGTAACCCCTCCTCTGTAGGCTCATCTTAATATCAGAATAATGGGCCTTTGGCTAGTTGGAAAATACTGCACCATTTTGCTTTAGGCGCAGTCGCTTTCTGCTGCAATATTCCTTAGGAGTTTAAAAGTAACATTAATTAAATATTGCTGAGTCAGGAGACAGGGCTCTGACCCAACATAACAATATCTGCAATCCTGCACCTATAAACCTTTTTAATAAACACGTTCACTTAAACAGGTGTAAAGCATTTTGTGGTTTTGCAGAGGGTTCTTGTATTATTGCAAAACAACCAGTTTGGTTATTTAAAGGACTTCAATAAATTTTTTTACGAATAGGCCCTCATCTATCAAGCTAATAAAACTAGATACACTGTCACTGACTTCAGGAACATTGTCACATTCAGAGGAAGCAAGTAGTTTAGCCAACTCACACTGACAATTCAGCAGCTGCTTCTCTTTTACCTACAATAAGAGAGGAGAGGTGAGAAGAGGAGCAGGAGGAAGTAGGTGAGGGAAGTTTGATACATAGTTAGATATATGAGGGCTGAGTTGCTGGAGGACTGTAGGTCTCTCTACCTCTCTTGGATTTGAAGCACAGCACAACCACCACCACCAACACAGACAGCGCCAGCAAACAGAAGCCCCCGATCAGCACTTTCTTCCACAACGCCAGGCGCACTATAAGAGAGAGACACAGAAACTCAGTGACAAACAAGCAGAAAAGGGGGAATCGCATGATGGGATCCAGTAGGAGGATTGAAAGTCCACTTTATTCCTTTCTGAAGGAGGGTGTTGTTGATTTTAGCAATATTCAACCTTTCTATTGCCTCTCTCAATTCACGCTCAGCTCCGACAAAGTTGGTTCCATTATCTGAGCGTAATTCCAATACTTGTCCACGTCTTGCGATGAAGCGTCGAAGAGCATTAACAAAGGAATCTGTATCCAAGGATGAAGCTACTTCGATGTGGATGGCTCTTACTGTTAAGCATGTGACGAGAACACCATACTTTTTAACTGTACTCCTTCCTCGCTTGACCTCAAAAGGTCAAAAATAGTCAACTCCAACACGAGTGAATGGAGGTTCATCTGGAGAAACTCTGTCTCGAGGTAAATCTGCCATCTGCTGCATTCCTGGAGCTCCATTTAGTCGCCGACAAACAATACATTTTGACAGGATACTTCATATGTGGCTCCTACAGGCACCTTACGTTGAATTACGTTACGTTAAGATAGATACGGTACAATACGTTACGAAACGTTACTATATGTAACGATACGTGACATTACGTTGTGTTGCGTTGCTTTACGCTAGGTTACAATACATACGATACAATACGTTACATTATGCAACTTCATGTCAGCTCAAGTCTGACATGAAGTTGCAGCTCCACTTGCGACATGAACAAGGATAACTTTCTAAGACAAGATACAAGGAAACAAACATTAAACATGATATCATGATCACTGAAGACAACATGCTCGAGACCCTCTAACGTACATTGTACCTGGGATTTAACTTCGACTGACTGACTGGTGAAAAAAGGAGCGCTTCAGTCTAACCTTATTATATCGTGGGACCCTGTTTCTCCGATTTGATGGTAACAATTCATATTCGCTGATCAGGACATGGTTAGGGTCAGAGATGATGTTGTTGGCCAACCTGCATTATGTTATTATGGTAGGTCGATAGATATAGTCTCTCAAATGGTTGGTCTACAATCTTTGAGCAGATTCAGATTGATGGAGCAGTTTTGACTTTAAAGCAGTGGACAAACACTTGTACAGTGAAGCATTGAGTATTGTATAACACTCAAAATCCCAGATATATGAAACCAAAACAAATGTTGTCTCTTTCCCCGAAAGACCTAATGTGGCGGAGAAAAAAAAGAAAAATGTGTTTAATAAATCATTTTGGCCTACCCAAAGCCATACATCTGTTCAGTGTTTCCCATATATTCATTTTATGAGCACTGCTACAGCTTCAGTCAGTCATTAATATGCTCTGCTCTTGTGCTTCACAGTGCAGGGCTTGACTTTTCCCCACACACATGGAGCTAGCAGAGACAGAGGCAGAAACCTAGAGAAAAACACTGCAGACAATCATTTTTTTTGTTTTTTGGGAGTGATGTCTAAGTTGATTACATATCATCAA